TATTTTCCATTGAATATGATTTAAAAATAGTTGTTTATAGAGTAAGTGTTCTTATTTCAACTTTCTTCAAATGTTTCATAATCTGCACCGTCACTGACCCAACAGGTCACGGGTAGTCAAGTATTTTATAAATTTCAACAGTCAGTAGAATTGGCTGTTCATTCAATAAATGCCGAATGTTTCCTTATAAGGAAACATTTAATATTACCGCAATGCTATCAATAATATTGACAAGGGGATTAATAATGGTGGTAATTGAAGAAGACAGAATATGAATAGGAATTAATGAGACAAACCGAAATTCGCTCATTCTTACAGATCACCCAAGATCTTTTACACATTAGCAAAGGCTAGCGAAACAAGCATGCTAATCAGGGTTCTAGGAGGAACTGTCATTAAGATCATCAGAATTAAATGTGTAAATTAATTAATTAATATTCTTAATTATGATTAATTATATGATCATTAGTAGTTACAGGTCACTGGTTCTCATCATGAACTATGTTAAGCAGTCTCGTTTGATTATTCGTCTCTTACCGTTCATTCTACTAATGTGTCCTCGTAGGGTGGGCTTGTCTCTCAAAGGTTAACTCTATGTTTGTCGCCTATTAGCACCTCTATGGCCACTCATGGCGGTAAGGTCGAGAAGGAGGGACCGGACTGAAGGCGACCAAACCCCGAAGACACCCAATAGTGGAATAGGCCACGATCGGTTTGCCGTAACCAAGGCGAGCCTTAACAGACGAATTACACGACAGCCCAATACAACCAGGTTTGCCAGATCTCGTCTGTTTCAAACCCTTTTGAGCCGAGACGGGAGCGCTTCTGGCCGAATGTGTTGGGCTTCTCTGTCACGAAGAGTTGTCCCCCAAAATCAAATTTACGCGAATGACCACATCTTAACTCTCTTTGATTCACAGCCATCTTCGCCATCGCCATCAGGTGGAGAAGAAAGGGAATAGTGAGAGATGATGTTAATCCCGATGACCGGAATGAGAACGGGTGCTGACAACAACAATTGCTCGTTAACGCTAAAATCGTACCTCAGACAGTCACTTCATAATAATATTATTTACTCAACAGATTATTGCTACAGGAGTTAGCAGCATATCCAACTAGCTGATGCTGAAATAGAATATATATATATATATATATATATATATATATATATATAAAGAAATATAGTCTTAAGGTGTGCTATATTTATGGGATAAAGTGCTCAATATCAGAGATAGAGCGTGTAAATATAAAGTGAACATATAAAGTTCAACATATGCAATCGTCAGGCCACCGATTGCATATATGAAACAGACTGTCGCCCTAAGTGTTGACATATGTTCACTTTTATATATATATATATATATATATATATATATATATATATATATATATATATATAGTTAAGTTACGAAGAACTTGGTAAACCGAATGGGTAATTCCAAGGAGAAATGAAATCCTGAGAGCTCAATGTGAATACAAAGCTAATATTTAATGAAAAACAGACTACTTTAACGTACCATTACAATAATTTATTTCACCAAAATTGTTACCTGACGATCCGGAGTCCTTTAAAATATTCTATATATTGGTTTGTTTTCTTCTCTTCTTCCAAAAAACACCCTGTCTTGGCCGCATATAGGAAGATCAGTACAACCAAGCATACCCGATCTATAACATCGAATAGTCCAAGTGAAGTCTTGATTAGTTGCCGTTTACTGGGAGAACTTATATAAAGCACGTCCTAAAGCTAGTAGCAAATTTTATTCTGCATGCGGGCCGAATACTGATCATATTCGGTCGGGTCGCCCATCGAAGAAGTCTGTTGTTTATTTAGACCTGAAACTTCTAGTGACATGGGAGCAACAATACTGACGGCGCACCTAGAGTCAGCACTTAAAGGTTTATTTTTAATAATAAGTCCACTTCTCGCCTGTGCTTTGAATATGATTGCCGTATCTTCTCTGGTGATCCTGATATATATCTCGAGGTCCTTAGCAAAATTCAAAGAAGGGTCTGTAATGTAATCTATCCTGATCTGTCATCTCGACTTCTCGACTGATGTGAAGTGGCTTCCCTCTGTCTTTTCTACAAACATTTTCACCGCGAGTTGCTTTGATGTGCTTTTTTATCCTACTGCCTCCACTACTTGAATTTAAGCGTGTCACTAGATTCGAAACTAGTTCTCACTGTTTTAATGTTGAACTAGCTAGATTCAACCGCTATTTCTATTCTAACATTTTTCTCTCGCAATTAACACTTTTAGAAATCCTTTCCGATTTCTTACTTCCCAGATAACTACAATCTTCAAAAATTTGAATGCAACGTCAGTCGCTATTTTCTGTCTTCAGTGAACTCTGTTCCTTTTTTTTTGTTCTTTCCTAACTCCTCCTCACTAAATTCTTCTCATTCTGGAGATTGCAATTTTTTGATGTTTTGAAGGTCCACCCTGACAAGGGCTGCTATCATCCATTAGGTTCCCAGCTATATGTAAATAATAAACCATCAAGCAAAAATAAATAAATAAATAAAATAAAATAAAATAAATAAATAAAAAAACATTCTGAAACCATAAAAGTATATTTTTATAGTAGATATAAGCAGAATAACGTATATTATATTTTCATTACTTTAGGGCTCCCCAGAAAATTAATTCTCGGCATTAAATGACCCATAAGGAGTCGATGTGCCGTTAAACAAACAAATCACTAAATCGTAAGCCTACCTATCTGCTGCTGCTTGTTTGACTGCACTTTTGTAGGTTACACAAATCGATAGACACCTGATGAAGGCCCGATTGCTCAACGGTCGAAAGATTGTAAAAAACAACAATGACGAGGAGATGAGTCCGCATTGAAATGGTGTGAACCGATGATTCTCAGACTATTTGATATGACGAACCGGAATTCTTTTTTTTTGACATGAGTCACGTATCTGTAATATTTTGTGGTAATATTAATTTTAATTAAATACCGGAAACGATATATAGAATGAATATAATAAAAGTTGGCTATTTTTTTATCTTTCATTTATTTTTCAAAAAAATAATTCAATATCAAAACACATGAAAAGTAACAATAAAAAAAATAAGCAGTTTATTAACACAAAAACAAAAATTATATAACCTTAATCTTTATAAATAATTCCTTAGTATAGCCTGGACACTGGCCGCGTACCGGTAGCTGATAGTTCGGTACCGGCACCTGTTCGCAGACCACCACTTTGAGTAGCACTGATGTAAATAATCATTCCCAGAAATTTGGACAGAAAATGTCTCATTCGGATTGTAATTATACATTTCATTGTAGGTGTTCGTTATTCAAACGTTATATCCATGCTACTTCATTATTAGATCAATATAATTGTCGTTTCAAGTTTCCTCATCTATGAGGAAATTCTCCAAACATTCACTACAATAGCGAAGTCCTTCAGCACTTATTACTTTAGTAATATTCCTATTTGTATAAGTCTTACAAAACGGACTATTTTCGATTTCTACGTCATGTTTCTATGCTACTGAGAAAGCATGATTTTCAAATCTTCAATGTGTAGCTCCTAAATTTTGATTATCTCTATTGCTGACAATCATTTATTGACTTAAATTTAATAGATACAAAATACTTGTTACATTAACGAATCAATTTATCTCATTTTTCCTTTAGTTTCATCCTGAGTCTGCCATCGTTCTTGTGTCATGCGGTTGTCTTATATAGCTAAGACTCATCTATCTATCTATCTATCTATCTATCTATCTATCTATCTATCTATCTCGGCCGTTTGCTTTTCTTTCTTTCTTTCTTTCTTTTTTCTTTCTTTCTTTCTATCTGTCTGTCTCGGCCGTTTCTTTTCTTTCTATCTATCTATCTATCTATCTATCTATCTATCTATCTATCTGTCTCGGCCTTTTCTTTACTTTCTATCTATCTATCTATCTATCTATCTATCTATCTATCTATCTATCTATCTATATATCTGGGGCTGTCCATATCTATCTCAACCTGTTCATATCTATCTATCTATCTATCTATCTATCTATCTATCTATCTCGGCCTGTTCATATCTATCTCAGTCTGTTCATATTTATCTATCTCAATCTGTTCATATCTATCTATCTATCTATCTATCTAGGCCTTTTCATTTCTATCCATCACTTAAATTCTGTTTGAATACCAGCGAGGCTTTCGATAGCCAATGCTACATACCATTTTTAATTCAGATTTGTCATTCTCCTGGTGGAAAGAAATGGGTCGCTACACACCATTCTCCAGATTACTTGTGCGAAAGTGAATGAAACAAACTCGACCGGAGACTGAACTAGGTTCGCCAATTTCCTTTTCCTAACCGATAATCGTTACGCCACATGCGGATTCACTAATAACGTTGTATTAGATCAGACAGTTGCGGGCGTTAGAATTGATTTTTTTTTCGCGAAACGAAAGTACGAGGAACACCAGAAAAGCATAAATGGGTCAACCGCATATTCCAAAATCAAAAGGACATGGAGTCTGCAAATCTTTGACAGACGTCCATCTTTATTCATGCGCAAAGTAGCGTGTTGTGTGCTCTCCAAATCAGTGCTTTTGCCAATATCTCCGTACACGCAACATATTTGTTGTTTTTTATGTGTTTAGCGACATATCAAACACTATAAGTTATTTAAGGCCAAAATATTAAATATTTAATACGTAATTTGTGCATATTTTTTTTTAGATAATAATGGTTTTAGTGATACAATGGTTTTAGATAATAATGGTTTTAGTGATAAAATTCTTACTAATTAAGGCATAGCTGTGTAGAGACGAAGTGGATTCACGCCTTTTCCAACGGTGTTTGCGCGTAAGTGAATATAACGAACCCAACTGGAATTCGAACTCAGCACTCCAATTAATAATTCCGGGCCATTATCCATTAACCAACCCGTGCATTCAAGCTTACAGCAACTCCAATTCCCAAGTGGACACCCATCTAGGTATTGACCAAAATCGACCTTGCTTAACTACTTTTTATATAGATAGATAGATAGATAGATAGATAGATAGATAGATATGTATAATCAAGCCCTACCCACATTTCTCATCAACACAAGACAGATATCCTTGCAGATGTGTTAAGGTATCACACTTATACACACACTCATACCAATATATAGACTTACACATATACACCCCAACGAATTAAACGATAACATACACTTAACATCCTCTTTTGAGAAGCCAATAAAACTGTCCAAATGACCAAGAATGGAATTATTCGACTGATGAATCTCCCCGGCCTCTATCTTAAAAACAAGTTGAAAGAGGTCGTCTGACCAACACAAGGATTGACCAAAATTAACGATAAAAAACAAATGAAAATTACAGATAAAATTCATTTCTTCATAAACAGTCATTCTCTCCTGTAGTTCGATGCAAATAACAAGCAGAATTTTCTTTTTTTTATAGAATTTTTTTTTCTCCTAATGATGGCCATGCTGGCCAAAACTAGTCGAACAAAACTAACTGAAATTTTAGCAAGCTTAAAATTTTAAGCTAGCTGCAATTTTGGATACAAAAGAAAAATAAAATTTCCTGTCTTTGAACAATGGAAGCAACGATAAAGGCTAGTATAATATATTAATATATATTATTAACATCGAAAAACCTAGCAACCCTGAATCTGAGCACAACGAAAATCCTTCCCTCTGCATAACTTTTTAGGGCTTTTTCAATGAGCTATGAATCCTTGAAATCGGTCCAGTCGGAGCGGAGGAACCGTTTGGACACAGACGCACACAAACACACATACACTGTACTATATATATATATATATATATATATATATATATATTGTTACGAATGCAGATAGCCTAAACACGCATATATTAAGGTTAGTCTCCGCTTGACAACAGAAGACGTCACGTGGGAGTCTCAAGACATTTTGGGGAAGCAGGTCAAGAGGTTGACTGACCCAGTTACCCGTAGCAACAGACGTCTAGACAGAATCTAGAGAGGGGACTGACGTAAGGTCATGAAGCAGCAGGAACTGGAATTCGCGCCAAAATGCAGGACACGTGGGAATTACTTGGAAGTCAGTTGCTGTCTTGTCTTTGAAGGAGCAAGACTCGAAATCAAAACGCTGATAACTTATGAACGGAAAGATGAGACTCATTTTGGTAATGATGGAACTTGTCCGATTCATCATAAGCAACTCTGGATAAGAAATATAAGGATATATATTTCTGTTCGTCAACTCCAGATTGAATAAGATAAATCGAGTTATTTATCACGGAAGATGCAAGGAAATTTGTACGCTGAGAATACAGCCTGTGTTTGAAGAAAGAAAAGAGAAATCAAGAGAGAAAAAGAAAGTATATATCTCTGTTGCAGCCGGACCGCGTTTGAAGCTGAACTGTGTAAAGAAGAAGAAAGAAAGAAAGAAAAGAGAAACAAGAGAGAAGAAGGTATATATCTCTGTTGCAGCCGGACCTTGTTTGAAATTGAATTTGTGTAAAGAAAAAGAAAGAAAGAAAAGAGGAAACGTGAGAGAGAAAAGAAAGGACAATGAGTAAGAGAGAGAACTGAATATAAAGATAAGTAACTATATATTTTGGACCCGTGTTAGAAAGATACACATGCATCCATAAATTTTATGTTCTCACAAACACCTTTCCACATGTCAAAATAGTAATATATAAATCCTAGCCTATCTCTTTTTTTGGTTATGCGTTGATTTCTGCATTCGTAGTTATTCATACTTATTTTTTTTTATCCGTTCAGGTTCAGTCGAATCCACTTGGATTTGGGCATCTTTTGGTATCCCAACATAAGTCTTGAGGTTCTGGTCGTCGGATGCTTTACTCATGTTTATATTTTTCTTTTATTGTAATATCTTGTGTATATGTATATATTAAAATTCTTATACCAAAATTTATTACGCCTTATCGTTCATCCTTGAATTGTGGATCGGTATATGTATTGAAACCGAAGCGAACCTGGGAAAAGACTACTGTTTGATTATCTCAATCGAACAGTATTCTTTAAAATATTTTTGTTTACTAATTGTCCATTTGTCATGGTCTGGAAGAGATAGCCCGTATCTCTCCATAGACGTGTCAATGTATATATCTACTGGTCGGCGTATGATTGCGTTATAAATTATTCGTCGAGTAGGGCATATGACAATATATATATATATATATATATACACTACTGTGGTCAATATAATACAACATAGCTATTAAGTATATATTAATAATTATACATATTAATATTATCCCTCACCGTTAGTACGACTCGGAGTTTCATGAAACTCTGAGTCGTGCTAGCAATGAAGGATGATATATATATATATATATATATATATATATATATATATATATATATATACTTTATTTTTAGGATATTACATCAAAAACATACACAAATAGCGCTGCACAAATGCAATCGTGTTTCGATGTGCATTAACACATCTCATCAGACATTAGTAAATAACTGATGAGTAGACAATATATTGAAATTTAAAAAGAAGATATACCCTTTTTTTCTCGAGAAAAGGAAGAACAAGAAAAATAGTAAGAAAGAAAATGGAAGAGATGGTTGGAGGGTTTGTTTTGTCTTTATTCAGATCAACCAATCAGAATGGCCTACGCTAAATACAAAGTAAGGGGAGAAACGAAAGTTAAGAAGCAAACATACGTGAGAGGTCATGACCCGCAGCTTTAGAATCTTAGATAACATCCAGCCGTCATAGGACGATTCGATTGTAAATGGCTACAATGTTATACATTAGAACATGTCATTTCCTATGAAAGATGAAAGCTAATTTAACAAGATACTGAACAATCTACATTCCCAATGACATTTTTATAGATGGTAAATAAACAAGCCCTTTAAGGAACAGATAGAAAGTTTAAACAAATAAATCTAACAATATTATTTAAATTCGAAATTGATCTTCCTGACAGAAAGATAGGCCTTACATGGTGCAACAAAGTGTTGTGGATTCCGAGATGAAATCCGGTCTCAAATGAATGACAAACGCAGGAATGAAATATAGCAAATAAATGTATTGACATAATAATACAATTGGTAATATGGTTAGTAGATCCAGAAATGCGGTTAGTAGCAATAATAATATATATACAGTCTGGGAAATTCAGTATCGAAGTATGACTTCCTTCTGAGTCTACGTGCTCGCAACTGTGAATCCTACAAAGCGGTTACCTCACACTCTCACTGTATCACTGTATCAGTGCATCTCTCTACTCACTCTTACTTAGGTATTCACTGGCAGCCATACAAGTACACACTGGTCGTGTCCGCTTGTATGAAAAAGGGGCGGACCCCATAAACACAAAGTTTAACGAAAATGTAAGAAGAAACAATTGTCAAATGTCAAAGTTTAGCAAGATTGTAGAGCTCAAGGTATGGTATATTTACAATTAACAGTTAATTCAAATCTTTATATTAGATATATATATATATATATATATATATATATATATATATATATATATATATAATAAAAAAATAAAAAAGAAAGAACAGTAAGATATATAATCCGGTGTTTTTATTAATATTTTTATTTTTACAAAACAGTGCGCAATGCAAATTTACAGAACATAAATAGTATAAATTAACTGATTTAAAAATATGGTTCCATCACTACATACTAATTATCATGTTTCAAAAACAGAAACTATAAACTTCAAATTCAATTATATAATTAAATTAAAGGCCCTTGCTTTGTTTCATTTTCAAGCGAATGGTGGAACTAATATATATAATATATATATATATATATATATATATATATATATATATATATATATATATATATTGAACAATATAAAAATATTAAGAAATTAAAATCTTCAGACACACTGGGGTTGTATATTAATATTCCTTCATTTTTATTATTTCATTTATATTCCTCGAATCGTTTCGGCCAATACTGACCATCATCAGGAGAGAAAAAAATTCTGCTTGCTGGTAGCAGTGAACTACAGAAATGAATGTCTTGATGGAGAAAATGAACTTTTGTCTGTAGTTTTCAATTATTTGTTTATTTTTTTTATTTTTTAACATGAATTTTGCTCAGTCCTTGTGTTGGTCAAACAGTCTCTTTTAAGTTGGTATTTAAAGTGGATGGATCCATGCTGCTCTGAATTCCCTTGGTCAATTTGACAGTTTTATTGGTTCCTGGAAGGGGATGTGTCTCTGTTAAGTGTGTGTGCGTTACTTGGTTCTTAGGGAGTGAGTGAGTATAATGTGTGTAAGCGTGTATCTATATATATATATATATATATATATATATATATATATATATATATATATATGGGTGTGTGTTATCATTTGGCACATTAGGAAGTGAGTGAGTATGATGTGTGTAAGTGTGTATATTAGTATAAGTCTGAAGCCTCAACACCTCCGTAAGTATGTCTGTTTTGTGTGCGTGAGAAATGTGGGTAGGTCCTGATTTGTGGAGTTATATATTAATACTATCTATATTATAAAATTTGTGATTAAGCCCGTCTGGACAGAGCGTTTAAAAATTAGGATATAAACTCGGCTGGCGACAACAATGAGATATCTTTGACAAACCTTTCCACTGTTTGACCCAAGTCTTGTGTTTACTTGCTGAGTTCTAGCAATGTGTTCCGATTAAAAGTTTGAATATTACAACATATATTGTAGAACCTAGCCTTCTAACCATGTGATCGTTTGTGTATGGAGGAGTCTAGAGATTACGGCGCCGAACGATATAACTTAGCCTCTGATTTCCATCATGGTTCGTGCATGAAAGGTTTTGAGATTACGATGCCTCTCCAAAAACTTGATCTTCTAGGTCTTTGCTATTTGCAATTGTAAAATGACATTTGTGTTTTGGCAAAGTGCGTCATTCAGCAACGCCAATTGCTCATTTTCAGAGTTGGATATTTGCAAAATATCCACCTACCAGTAATCCATAATAAAGAATTAAGATTACTTGCTATCTTTGTATTGCAAAATCATGTGTGTTTTTGCATGGTAAAACAACTCATTCACTTTCTTTGGAGAAAAAAATAATAATTTAACTTCTAGTGTGTCATTCAACCACGCCAATTGCTCCTTTTCAGTGTTGGATATTTGCAGAATATCTACCCACCAATAATCCATAATTGAGAATTAAGATTGATTGTTATCTTGCTTTGAACAGTAAAACAGCTCATTCACTTTATATGCGGAAAAATATAATTTAACATCTAGTGTGTCATTCAACATCACCAATTGCTCATTTTTAGAGTTGGATATTTGCAGAATATCTACCTTACAGTTATTCATAATTGAGAATTTGTTTTGAATCCTACCAGATACTTACTATAATATTCCACCGGTTAATTTGATTTTCTTAGATACAATTTCCGTAGATTTTACTTCTGTTATTAAATTTTCAAAAATGATTTTCTTTTGTCTGTGTGTGTACGTCAAGCAGCAAAATAAGGACATTTTTTCAAAGTTCTGCTGAAATGACTTTGCATAAATTATACCGAAAATATTTTTCTAGTTTCTGAAAAAAGAAAGTCTGGGTTAACTTTTCAGATTTCACTAACATTACATAATAAAAGTACCGCTGGTAAAATTTGCATCAACCTAACAGAAGTGTACATTCCTAGCAGAAGGCAATATTCAACATCCTCTACTGACGGTGCTTACAAGCTAAACGTAGGCCAGAATAAATACACATGACCCGCGCTTGACACCTGCACAATTTACGCCCAAAGAAACTGAATATTAAATAGAGCATCAATACACAGCAAAAGAGAATAAAAATAAAAGTCGAAATTCTTGTCAATCGCACAAATTTATTTCGCACCACAAACAGCCTGATCATAAATTCATTAATTAATGTATTAATTAATCAGTTAAATTAAAGAAAGGAAATAAATAAGGAAAGATCCAATCGAATGAATAGAAACGGAACGGAGAGCTACGAACGACGGAGAAATGATGGAAGGATGGAATGAAAATAAAAATGGAGGTTTGAGAAAAAAGTGTGAGGGAGAAATATAGAAGAGACAGGAAGAAAAATGGCAGAAGAAAGAAAGAAAGTGTTCAGGAAGAAAGGTAGAAGAATAAATAAATAAATAAATAAATAAATAAATAAATAAAGAAAGAAAGAAAGAAAGAAAGAAAGAAACAAACAAACAAACAAAGAAACAAAGAAAAAGCCTTCAGGAAGAAAAGTAGAAGAATAAATAAATCGATAGATAAATAAATAAATAAATACAGAAAGAACAAAAAGAAACAAAGAAAGAAAACGCTTTCAAAAACAAAAGTAAAGGAATATATAAATAAATAAAGAAAAAAAGAAAGAAAGAAAGAAAGAAAGAAAAGGCCTTCAGGAAGAAAGGTAGAAGAATAAATAAATAGATAGATAAATAAATAAATAAATAAAGAAAGAAAGAAAGAAAGAAAGAAAGAAAGAAAGTAAACGCTTTCAAGAACAAAGGCAAAGGAATATAGAAAGAAAGAAAGAAAGAAAGAAAGAAAGAAAGAAAGAAAAAAAGAAAGAAAAAGCCTTCAGGAAGAAAGGTAGAAGAATAAATAAATAGATAAATAAATAAATAAATAAAGAAAGAAAGGATGTAAACGCTTTCAAGAATAAAGGCAGAGGAATATATAAATAAATAAATGAAGAAAAAAAGAAAGAAAGAAAGAAAGAAGGAAAATCCTAGATCAAGAAAAGCAGAAGACTAATAAAAGAAAGAAAAAAGTAGCGCCTAGATAAAAAAGACAGAATAATCTTGAAAGAAAAGAGAAAGAAAGAAAGAATAAAGAAAGAGCCTTCAGAAAGAAAGATAGAAGAATAAATAAATAGATGAATAAATAAATAAAGAAAGAAAGAAAAAAAGAAAGAAAGAGAGAAAGAAAGAAAGTAAAAGCTTTCAAGAACAAAGGCAAAGGAATATATAAATAAATAAATAAATAAAGAAAGAAAGAAAGAAAGAAAGAACGATAGAGAGAAAGAAAGAAAGAAAGAAAGTAAAAGCTTTCAAGAACAAAGGCAAAGGAATATATAAATAAATAAATGAAGAAAGAAAGAAAGAAGGAAAATCCTAGATCAAGAAAGGCAGAAGACTAATAAAAGAAAGAAAAAAGTAGCGTCTAGATAAAAAAAGACAGAATAATCTTGAAAGAAAAGAGAAAGAAAGAAAGAAAGAATAAAGAAAGAGCCTTCAGAAAGAAAGATAGAAGAATAAATAAATAGATGAATAAATAAAGAAAGAAAGAAAGAAAAAAAGAAAGAAAGAGAGAAAGAAAGAAAGTAAAAGCTTTCAAGAACAAAGGCAAAGGAATATATAAATAAATAAAGAAAGAAAGAAAGAAAGAAAGAAAGAACGATAGAGAGAAAGAAAGAAAGAAAGAAAGTAAAAGCTTTCAAGAACAAAGGCAAAGGAATATATAAATAAATAAATGAAGAAAGAAAGAAAGAAGGAAAATCCTAGATCAAGAAAGGCAGAAGACTAATAAAAAAAAGAAAAAAGTAGCGTCTAGATAAAAAAAGACAGAATAATCTTAAAGAAAAGAAAGAAAAAACTAGATAAAGAAAGGTAAATCAAAGAAAGAAACAAAGAAAGAACGAAAGAAAGAAAAAAGCCTAGATAAAGAACGACTCAAGAAAACTGAAAGAAAAAAGAAAGAAAGAACGATGGAAGGAAAGATGGATTAACCTACTTTAAGAAAGGCATGAATAAATGAATAAATATAGAAAGAAAGAAAGAAAGAAAGAAAGAAAGAAAGAAAGAAAGAAAGAAAGAAAGAAAAATGCTTCAGGAAGACAGGTACAAGAATACTTAAATAAATAAATAAATAAAGAATATGAAATCGGTGATTAAGAAAATCGGAATAAAGAAAAGAATGTCTAAGAAATATTGCTAAATAAAACAAGAAAGATGAAGAGCCGAGTGTAAAAGAGGCATAGTAATATTGACTCAGTGAAGAAAGAAAGAAAGAAAGAAAGAAAGAAAAAAAGAAAGAAAGAAAGAAAGAATGAAAGAAAAAGCTACAAACAAGCAAACATAATTTATGGGAGAAGGAGAGAAAGTAAAGAAAATGATAGAAAAAAAAGGAAAACGTTGTTCACAAAGAATTACAGGAAAAGGAAAAGAGTAAAGAAATATGAGAATGTAAAGAATAAAGTAAAGAAAGAAAGAAAGAATGAAAGAAAGAAAGAAGGAGATATGAAAGGAAAGACTGAAGGAAAGAAGGAAGAAAATCAAATAAATGGACATAGAAAGGAACGAAACAAAATAAATATACTGGAAAATTCGGAATGAAAGTAAAAACAAAAAAAAATTCTTATTATCAAATCAGTTATATTGAATAAAAAACATATAAGTGTAAAAAATGAAAATGAATATTAAAAAAAAATATGGAGAGGTTGTAAGGCGAAAGCGCGAAAAAGTATATTTATAACAAAAGAAAATCGAAACAAATTAACAAGGAATAAAAAAGAAATAAAAACGAACGTGAAAAGCGGAATAAAAGAATGCAATAAACGAACAAAATGGATTGTCCTAATCACAATGACGGAAAAATGAAATTAAACACACTGTGAACTTCTTGCTGAAGATCGTTTTTTTTTTAAAATTATGCGTAATGAACAAAACAAAGCGTTCATTATTTTATTTTTTTTTCAATTTCTCTTGAGTATTGTTAGCAGAAAATTTAAGGATGCGATAGTTGTCCAAACACATTCAAAATCAGATATTTTGGCGTTTTTCTTTTTTTTTCTTCACTTCTATTTCTTTGTTTATTTACATATTTAGTTTAAGGAGTTTCGCATAACTTATTTCACAAAAAAGAAAATGGCACAAGCCAGCAAGGTTTAATTGCCGTTGTCTGGGTTCTAATTAACACTAAAAATCAAAATCTACATACAATTCAGTACACTTTAGTAAAAGTAATCGCGAATAATGTCCAATAAATATATATATTAAAAAGAAAGAAAAAAAAACAGTTACCATGGATCATAATTACTGAACAGAGGTCGATCTTCATTGGAACCCCTGTTTTGTAAGTTTCTATCGTGCTCAACTGAGATACCCAAGAAAATTTTCCCTCATCAAATAAAAGACTGCTTAACTGCTATATAATATTTAATCTAATGATAGTGAATGCTGGACAATCTTCTCACGCCTTTCATAAACTAAGCAAAGTATTAAGAGACAGGAAAATGTCGTTAGAAACAAAGAAAAGAGTGCTGAACTGCTATGTAATATCTAATCTGCTATATGGCAGTAAATGCTGGACAATCTCCTCATGCTTTTTATAAACTAAGTAACTTATATAGAGATAGGAAAATGACGGTAGACATTAGTTGGGTTTAGACTAGATACCGTTTACCTTAGACAAAAATATAGAAATTTATTCAGTTTAAACTAGATTTTACACTGATCGGGTTTATATCCTAATTTGCAATTCTCCTCCCCTGAATATTGTTAGGTCCACCAACGGGATTAAATGAAGTTAAACATATTGATTTTATTGAATCGATAATAAACCTGAGTGTGTAGCCGCTTATCTCCGAGGTGACAAAGACTATATTTAATATTAAAATTACAATTTTCGGGCAAATTGCAAAAAATGGACATCTTTGTATACGACACCGCATAAACCTGAACAACCTAATAAAGTACAGTGGAACATCGGTTCACGAATTTAATTTGCTCCCGAAGGACGTTTTTAACCCGAAATGTTTGTAAACCGAAACTATTTTTCCAATAGGAATCAATGTAAAGAAAAAAATGTCACTGTACAATAAAAGTGGAAAAGAAAAGCACGGCACAACACACGAATGTATACAAAATGGCGGTCGACTAAGAAATGATTCCGTTCGGGTTAACTCGGATCGGCTCGGTTCTCTTCGGTTCGGCAATGTTGTTCGAGAATTGAAATTTTGTTCGATAACCGCAGCATTTTCATCTCAAATTTTCTGTTCGAAGCCGATTTGTTCGACATGTGAAATATTCGAGGACCGAGGTTGCTCTGTATATGATTTTGTATTTTAATTAGTAATTAAATTTTGGTAATTTCTATGTTTAAGTATTTTAAAAATAAAACAAAATGAAGTATAGCAACTCAAATAGCGAGTAAAAATAACGTTTATATTACTGAGAAATTATGTCAGATTAGTGTTTTACTTATTTAATAGTCTGTGGTATTGTCGGACATTACCCGTTGTGTACAGGGTGTACATAAAGTTTCTTTACAATTAGAAAAAATATTACAAAAGCAAATAAACAGACAAATATGTGGAAATCGTTACAAAATGTGTAGATATTGAATTTTTTAAAAATAATTTAATCCACCTCTCTATGGGCATCATTAGTTGCACAAAGCACAGAAGACGGTATTCGATTTCTTTCCATGTTTGCTGTAGCATAACTTCCTCAATGGTGGCAATGGCATCAATGGCATCTTTTGCTTTAGATCAGTGATGTCCAGTATCTTTGTTTGGTACACGTTATCTTTAACATAACCCCAGAGAATGAAGTCCAAGGGAATTATATCTAGTGAATAAGGTGGCTAGAGAATTGGACCATCCCTTCCAATCCACCTGTTTGGAAATATTAGGGGTTCATTTAACAGTAGCTCCTTCATCAACAGGATTCTTGAAATACACAACTGCAATGTCATTAAAAGCCTTTGATAACTACTGAGTACATAGAATAAATCTGATTAAGATATTTCATCAATTGCCTTTGTAATATATTTTTTTAAATTGTAAAGACATTGTATTAACACCTGTATATATATATATATATATATATATATATATATATATATATATATATATATATATATACATATATATATATATATATATATATATATATATATATATATATATATATATGTAAGCAAATGTAAATGGATATAGATCCGACAGAATGAAGAAAATTTGGAAAAAACAAACAAAAATCCTTAAATGCAATTATGTTGTTTAAAATGAATGAAATGTCGACGTCTGACGTTTCGGTTTAATAAACCTTTTTCAAGACAATTAAAAATATTCAGTTATCTGTTTTGGATAAGACTTGTTGTTTATGTCCATCGTCTTTGTCAAATTGAACTGAATTGTATTTTAATGAATATTGTCTTGAAAAAGGTTTATTAAACCGAAACGTCAGACGTCGACATTTCATTCATTTTAAACAACATAATTGCATTTAAGGATTTTTGTTTGTTTTTTCCAAATCTTTCTTCATATACATATATATATATATATATATATATATATATATATATATCCGATATGGACACTATTATTTTCATGAAGCACATCAATAAAGTACTCGATTCCTTGCTATGTTTGCCGTAGCATAACCTCATCAATGGTGACAATGGCATCAATGGCATCTTTTGCTTTAGATCAGTGATGTTCCGTACCTTTGTTCGATACACGATATCTTTAACATAACTCCATAAAAAAAAATCGAAGGGTGAACGAGTTGGAGCGGGTATTTGGCCATGCCTTACAATCCACTGGTCTGGAAATATCAAGGGTTCATTTAACAGAACCTCTTTCATGAAGAGGATCCCTGAAATACACAAATGCAATATGATTAAAAACTTTCATAACTATTGAGTACATAGAAGACATCTGATTAAGATTTGCAGATTACTTTTGTGATATATCTTTTTTAAATTATAAAGACACTTCATGGTCACCCGGTATATTCCATTACATTATCTGCTATAACATTTTTTTTCATACCTAATCCTTCTGTAGAAGCATACCTCCGTTGCCTCGAGTCTCTTCTTCATCTTTGAGGAGACCGCAAACAAAGAGGAAACGACTCTGAAATCCGAAGATGTATTGGGATGGCCAAAGACGCATTCCAAAAGCTAGGCAGAGTATCACAAGACAGGAGGATTTCTTTGGTAACAAAGAAAAAGAGTACTGAGCCGCTACGTAATATCTGCCCCCATTTACGGAAGCGAATGTTGGACGGTCTCCTCAAATATGAAGCACAGACTCGAGGCGGCGAAGGTATGGTTCTAAAGAAGGATGCTAAGGATATCATGGTCCGAGCGTCTGAGCAACGATGAGGTTTTGAAGAGGATGCAAACAAAGAGGAGGCTTATACATGACACCAGGAAGAGGCAGCTAAATTTTCTGGGAGACGTAATGAGAAAGGAGTGCTTGGAGAATCTGATACTCACAGGTCGAATAGAGGGAAAAATAGACAAGGGAAAGCAACGCATGACATACCTAGCAGGCTTAAGCAAGTGAATGGCAAAACGTGGTCTGGAGGAGGTGGCAGAGGGACGAAAATTATTGAGAGCCACACGTGGTAGGGGGGAAGTGGAAAGCCATGATCACCCACGCCCCGAAAGAACACATCACATAAAAGAAGTTACCACAATACAATAACTGTATGAATTACTTCCCTTGGTTTGTCCTTTTTTTTTTAGTTTAATCACCTTTTATATTGGTCACCGTTTTGACCACTTCCGGTTAGCCCTTCACCGGAACCCCTCACAATAATTGCATTATACCAAGTACGTGGTTGGTAGTTTTATCATCCTCTTAATCTAACCCCCAATGTTGACCATCACCGGTTTGTAACTTTTAATACCTTTTCTCTATTTCATTGTTATCTTATTGTTTGAACATTTCTTTAAAGTAGCCATATTTTATACGTTTGTATCTCTCTATGTAGTATGCTTTCAAAACTGTCCACATACTAACTTCATTTTCCCCGAACTCATCGCTTCATTGGATTGTATTCTCATAGCAAACCGTATATATATTCATGCAAAGAAAGTACTCAATACCTTTTTTTACCCATTTATTAGACAATTATTCTCCGTTTTATATTCTAGTCTTCAGTTGCCTTTGTTATTTCATGTTACCCTTGTTTGTCCATCCTGTGTATGACGATAAACCTAAGGTGTTTCATTAAGACAGATTATATATAAGGGTGTTTCATTAAGACGGATCAAAGTCAGCACTAAATAAATCAGTATTATGGGTGAAAATTTATTTACTTCTCTATTGGATCATATTATTTAAGTCATGGCAATTATGTGTGAAAAATAATATCGCCTAAATGTCCGTCAAATCAGAAAGAAAGAAAAATCATTAGACGCTTAAAATTAATTCACATTTAAAATCGGTCCAAGTTATTGGAACACCCTTTACATCCGCCTACTGGGTAAGACGATAAACTACATCCGACAACAAGTCCTTTGATCAGGAGGTTCTGTGGAGCTTGAAACCACCTCTTAATTGCTGGTGTTCCCAGTTCCAATCTGACCTGGAGTTGCAGCAAATTTAAGGTCCCAGATATGGGCAAATATTCCCCCCCTCAAGGAATCAAAACATTATGAAAGTATTAAAATAGGTTTTAATACCAGCAATACATTTTTGAAAAAAATATTACCAGTAGTACATTTTTGAAAAAAATAATTGCTAGCAATACATTTTTGAAAAAAATAATTGCCAGAAATACATTTTTGAAAAAAATATTACCAACAGTCCATTTTTAAAAAAAAAAATTGACATCAATACATTTTTGAAAAAAATAATTGCCATCAATACATTTTTGAAAAAAAAATAATTGCCATCAATACATTTTTGAAAAAAATAATTGCCATCAATACAGTTTTGAAAAAAAATAATTGCCATCAATACATTTTTGAAAAAAAATAATTGCCATCAATATATTTTTGAAAAAAAAATAATTGCCATCAATACATTTTTGAAAAAAATAATTGCCATCAATACAGTTTTGAAAAAAAATAATTGCCATCAATACATTAAAAAAAACAATAATTTCCATCAATACATTTTTGAAAAAAAATAATTGCCATCAATACATTTTTGAAAAAAAAATATTACCAGAAATACATTTTTGAAAAAATATTACCAACAATACATTATTGAAAAAAATATTACCAGCAATACATTTTTTGAAAAAAAAACATATTACCAACAAAACATTTTTAAGACAAATTGCCAGCAATAAAAAATATTGTCCGCATTAAATAACCCTTTAAGGTTGATATGCCGTAAAACAAAATAAATCAAACCAAAACTTGTTTGTTTGTATTTTGAGGCTGACTAGTCCAATTTATGTGTTTATCTTCCATTTATAGTTCTAGTCTTTTGGTTATAAACCTGTCGATGAACAGGACTTCGTCTTCAGATTTTTAATTGCCTTAAGGCGCTTATCTGACTGTCTTAGTGATTACCCACGCGTATCACACGGGCGCCTATTCCGGGGGGAAAGAACAACTTGTCTTATGTATTGGATTTATTTATTTGGATAGTAAATTTGTATCGTATTTTTTAAAAAAGTACTTTTTCGCTGGAAATTAAAAATAAATTTAGATCGATTATAAATTGAAATATTCTCTCTTTGTGTTTATTGCGATTTTTGCAATATTTCATGAAATAAAAATTGCATTATTGTTAAAAATCAGCAGTTTTGATAGTTGGTCGGTTGATTTTATTTAGCGGCATATCAACACCTCTATGGGTTATTTAATTCTTAAATCTAAATATTTTGAACAATTATATGGCTTCAACTAAAATTATTTTGATCACAAGTGTATGCCTTGAACTTTAGATAAAAAAAAGTTATTAGTCATTTTGTTACAAAAAAAAAAAGAAAAAATTGTTGGTCATTTACTATAAATATGTATTGTTGGTAATTATTTTACATATACAAATGTATTGCTGGTATTTTTAGCATAAAAGTGTATTTTTATACTTCCATAGTGTTTTGTTTCTGTTTGGGGGAGGGGTACTATTTGCCCATAGTTGGGGCTCTAAACTGTGCTACTACCTCGGGTCAGGGAGGACTTGGGAGTAACAGCAGTTAAGAGATAGTTTCATGCTTCCAAAATCATCGCATCTCACGACCAGAGGCCTTGCTACAGGATGTAGTTTATCGTCTTACCTAGGATTAAATTTTAATAGAATCAACATCCATCGACCAACTGATGTTATTCATGTGATTGTAGCGAGAGATATTTTAGAAACTTCTGCAAGTCCGGGTTATTCAGTTAGTAGTAACGGTAGGTAATTAATAAGTAAACTGAATTTTTAATTGAATTGTAGACAAGAGAGCCGTTGGCTAAGCGTTTTCGGCGATAGAAAAATGAATTTAGGAATATGTCCGACGGATATTCTTGGTAGGAAGAAAGTGTATGTTGGTGTGCAGAACAAAATGAAGAGAGGTGCACAGTGAAGAAAAAAAGAAACAAAATGAAATAATGGTGGAAGAAATTAAAGGAATTTTCAATAAAGTAAAGAAGAGAAAATTGGATTAAATATTTAAAAATAAAGGATATAAAAAAATTCTTAAATAAATATTAAAAGAAAGAAAAAAAAGAAAGGTAATACTTGAAAAACAAGCAAAGAAAGCAAGAACGAATAAATTAAATTATTGAATGAAAGGAAGGAAGGAAAGAAACGTTGTAATAAATATGGCGACAAAGATGAGGACAATAGTCCGAATAATGTAAATAGTGTACATAACAACTCATCTCAGAAATATAGACAGATACTGAAGGGCCGAAACGTTGTAATAAATATGGCGACAAAGATGAGGACAATAGTCCGAATAATGTAAATAGTGTACATACAACTCATCTCAGAAATATAGACAGATACTGAAGGGCCGAAACGTTGTAATAAATATGGCGACAAAGATGAGGACAATAGTCCGAATAATATAAATAGTGTACAAAACAACTCATCTCAGAAATATAGACAGATACTGAAGGGCCGAAACGTTGTAATAAATATGGCGACAAAGATGAGGACAATAGTCCGAATAATATAAATAGTGTACAAAACAACTCATCTCAGAAATATAGACAGATACTGAAGGGCCGAAACGTTGTAATAAATATGGCGACAAAGATGAGGACAATAGTCCGAATAATATAAATAGTGTACAAAAAACAACTCATCTCAGAAATATAGACAGATACTGAAGGGCCGAAACGTTGTAATAAATATGGCGACAAAGATGAGGACAATAGTCCGAATAATGTAAATAGTGTACAAAACAACTCATCTCAGAAATATAGACAGATACTGAAGGGCCGAAACGTTGTAATAAATATGGCGACAAAGATGAGGACAATAGTCCGAATAATATAAATATACAAAACAACTCATCTCAGAAATATAGACAGATACTGAAGGGCCGAAACGTTGTAATAAATATGGCGACAAAGAAGGACAAAGTCCGAATAATGTAAATAGTGTACAAAACAACTCATCTCAGAAATATAGACAGATACTGAAGGGCCGAAACGTTGTAATAAATATGGCGACAAAGATGAGGACAATAGTCCGAATAATATAAATAGTGTACAAAACAACTCATCTCAGAAATATAGACAGATACTGAAGGGCCGAAACGTTGTAATAAATATGGCGACAAAGATGAGGACAATAGTCCGAATAATGTAAATAGTGTACAAAACAACTCATCTCAGAAATATAGACAGATACTGAAGGGCCGAAACGTTGTAATAAATATGGCGACAAAGATGAGGACAATAGTCTGAATAATATAAATAGTGTACAAAACAACTCATCTCAGAAATATAGACAGATACTGAAGGGCCGAAACGTTGTAATAAATATGGCGACAAAGATGAGGAGGACAAAACAACTCATCTCAGAAATAATACTAAATAATAAATATGGCGACAAAGATGAGGACAATAGTCCGAATAATATAAATAGTGTACAAAACAACTCATCTCAGAAATATAGACAGATACTGAAGGGCCGAAACGTTGTAATAAATATGGCGACAAAGATGAGGACAATAGTCCGAATAATATAAATAGTGTACAAAACAACTCATCTCAGAAATATAGACAGATACTGAAGGGCCGAAACGTTGTAATAAATATGGCGACAAAGATGAGGACAATAGTCCGAATAATATAAATAGTGTACAAAACAACTCATCTCAGAAATATAGAAGATACTGAAGGGCCGAAAATAAAATGGCGACAAAGATGAGGACAATAGTCCGAATAATATAAATAGTGTACAAAACAACTCATCTCAGAAATAGACAGATACTGAAGGCCGAAACGTTGTAATAAATATGGCGACAAAGAAGTCCGAATAATATAAATAGTGTACAAAACAACTCATCTCAGAAATATAGACAGATACGGAAAGAAATTACTTTGAAAGAAAATAAGAAAGAGATAAAAGCGGAATTCAATATTGACAGAAAGAGTGAAAGAAAGAAAAAAAACGAGAGAACAAAGAAAGAGAAAAATGAGTAATGAACGGAAAAAAAAGAATAAATGAGTGTAGGAAAAACAACGATAGAAACAAAAGAAAGAAAGAAAGAAAGAAAGAAAGAAAGAAAGGCAAAATAATGGAAATTAAATGGAAAAAAAAGAGTAAAGAACAAATATAAAATGCAAGGAAAACTGGAGGACAATCAGAAAATATAAGAATGATAGTTAAAAGAAGAAAAAATTCGAAAGAGAACACAGTGTAACCCGAATATAAGAGACCCGGATATAAGAGAAATCCGGATATAAGAGACTTATTCTCCGGTCCCGACAACTCTCTTATATCCGGGTTACACTGTATAAAAAAGACATAACGAACTTGGGAACCGCGGTAAAAAAGGAGTACAGGAAAATATGGACGTAGAGTCATGTATGTAAGAAGAGAAATGAAGACAAAGTGATGGAAAGATGGAAATAAAAAAAAAGTAAAGAAGGATCCTGAAAAGTATTAACGCGTGCCGAAACGTTTCGATATGAAGGTAAAGATAAACAAAGCGTTTCCAAAACAGACGGATGTAGAAAGTAAAATAAACGAAATGGCAGAGGAAGATGGCGGCGTGTTGCGACCGGCCAATTTCATATATGATCGCACACAAAACAAATATATTAAGTACACCTTCTATATATATATATATATATATATATATATATATGGGAAAGTGTACTTAATATATTATATATATATATATATATATATATATATATATATATATATATATATATGTATGTATGTATGTAGGTGTGTGTGTATCATATATAAACACGAACACAGTGTGCGTGAAATATGATACACACATGCAGGCACACACTTTCCAGTCTTCTTCCCACTAACATTTTCAGCAATTATACATCAAAACACTGTCAGACGGTCTCGAAAATGCGTACCAGAATCCAGACGCACGCACACGCGCTAACACCACGTGACAAAACATGTTAGCTCTACCTATCCATTGAAAAACAAACAACGCAGAAAACAAAGTCCCGGATCTTTCACTTCCACTAAGAAAATAGAAGACACATACATTTCCTATTTATTTCTTCTGCTGTCGTATATATATATATATATATATATATATATATATATATATATATATATAAAATATAAACGGTTAACTTCATAAGCTCATGTTATATTAAATATGAAACACATAAACAAATCCCAAACTAAGTCAGTGTTAAACAAGTGCTTCAGAGAATCCAGGTGCATCGGCGTGTTAGACTTGAAAGTTAATACGGCCACAAGGTGCACATCTGCGTCTTAAACAACCGGTCCTTGACTGCGCTCAACATAGTTTTACGCATATCAATAGGTGTTATTTAATAATAATTATTAATAGTAAGTAGTATTAGTATAAGTATTATTATTAGTAGTAGTAACAGTAAATAGATGTCCCGTTCTAAACTCTGGGAATGATGATGCGTTTTGTCGAAGCTTCAAAAAATAACGGATTTAAAATCTAACTGAATAAACGTAAACTTTGCTTAAAAGTAATACAATCATTTTTATATAATTTAATATATTTCACAAATATGTTTTCTTTCATGCGATCTAATTTATTTTTCTTTTAAAATGATAAATTATATAAAAACTGTCCAAATGTTCTTATTTTCCGAGCGCTTTCTGCTATACCTTTTGCCATTTTCAAGGATTAATTATTTTAACTGTTAAATAGCTTAGTAAAATCTTTAATAAAAACACCCTAAAATTAAGTTACTGTTGCACTGAAAATCTTGAAAGTATAATAAAATATACACAATAATAAAATCCTGAATAAACCCCCATGCCAGAATAGTATTTATGAAAACCCTAAACTTAAATTAGACAAAAATAATGAAAAATTATGTGATTATAGAAACCTTGAAGACTGCACAATGGAATATATATGCCGCGTAAAATCTGTGGTATACCAATGTTCTATCTCATCCATTTAGAGTCCTAATACTAATATGATATACATTGGGTCTACGAAGAATGAATTTAAAACCAGGTGGAGACAGCATAAAAGCCCCTTCAACAATATTAATAAAAGAAATCAGACATCTCTATCTAAATATTTTCGACATTTAAAGGAAATGAATAAAACACCAAAAGTAAAATGGAAAATTATAAACAAAACTAGAACTTGTAAAACTTGGGATGACCCATGCCCTTTATGCCTACATGAAGAAATTCACATTATGAAGTTTCTAAATATGAAAATTTATTAAACAATAGACATAAGTTAACGGTTTTTTGCCGACATCATCATCAAATTTTCGAATAAAATAATTAGAATAAAAAACAAATAAACAGTATAATAAATACAAATTTTAAACCCCATAGTCTAAATAAAAAAGTTTAAAACCCCTACCCAATCATATATATATATATATAAAACCCTTTATGAAGTCGTCAGAAGAACAAATGTTAGCTAATTATGACATTTTTATATACACAAAACTCTTTCATGAAAGAAAATAAAATAAAAAAATAAATAAATCTTAAAATCTCCATAGACACTTAACCAGACTAGACGATGTCATCTTCCGCTTTAAATTTAGACACCCCCAACCTTACCCTGACTTAACCTCTTTGAATGTAACTTAGATATTGATAGAAATTATTAACTAATTAATTAATTGCTCTAGCCGTTACCATAGTAAATTTAATTTTAATATTGAATATGCTTATAAAAACGCGTAAATTTCAAGAATTAGTTATTCCAAAAATTTCGTTGGAAAATGGAACAGAGCTTGGTACTTTAATTCAATTTAATTCTAATAATTATATTGAAGTTTTCGGCTCTTGTTTTGAAACATGAGAACTCTTATGTATATATATATATATATATATATATATATATATATATATATATATATATATAGTAAAGGTAACAAATCCGTTGATATATAATCTAAGTGGAGCCTAGTAATGTAAAATATTAAAACTGAGCCATAAAAAGAAGCGTACATCAGAAAGTACACACACACACACACACACACACACACACATATATATATATATATATATATATATATATATAGATAGATAGATGTTTGTGTGTGTACCTTCTGATGCTCGCTCCTTTTTATGACGGAGAGGCCAATGACTCTGAGAGCAATGCTGTCGGGTGTTTGAAACTCTTGTTAGGGTCACATTTGGTGGCAACGTCGAAGACGAGCACTCAGACTACCAATCCCCATGATCCCAACACTGGAACGAGCGGTTGATGATTACGACATATCTCAGCGGTTGAACCAGCGGATGAAGATGTCTACTCATGACAGACATGTTACAGAAGGTGTCACTCAAAATTATAAAAATGTCAGCGGCAGTCCGATGCCTTTTCATAACTGGATTCTGCATGTCTCGTTCCCTCTATGCCGCAGAGGAAGATCATGAAATCAAGTGTGTGGGTCACTTCCTGGCAAGTTGAGGTCCAACGTAAACAAATCGACACCATCGGTAAATTCTTCTGCTCTGAATTTTTTTCACCTCCAACCAACTGTTGCAAAGCCAAAGAGCGTTAAGCAATGGATGCCTGGAGCAGGTTTTGGCGAAACTAGAAGCTTCTTCTCCTGAACGTCCACGTTGGCGGCGAATGTGTGATGGTCGTCTTTCTAAGATCCAGTGAATACTTAGGAGTCCTGTCCAACTTTCGTGTCTAGGCAGGACAGTTTAGGAGTACCGCTGCCAACGTCAATCTAGAAAGGTTCTAGAAAATATGGACGAAAGATCGTCCGGGAAAACGCATCTGGCGGGCTATCGATCATGCGACCAAAACAAGAAGAAACTTAGGACTGCCAACATGATCTTTGGAAGACGAAAATTTTAGAACTCTTCCCCGACATTGTCAACACCGACAGACAAGAAAGACGCACATCTCTAGTCTCAAAAGAACCGGCTAGACTCAATATTGACATCGCAGTCCTGAGTTAAACGTATGTTTCAAGAGAAGGGTTTCTCAAAGAAACTGATTCCGGTTGTACTTTCTTTTGGAATGGGAAAGAATAAATCCAAGGGTCGCTTTTGATATTTGTTGTGGTGTCCTCCCTCTAATGAGTCTATTGTGGACACTTCCACTTACTATAAAATTAGTAGGAAAGTAAAAATTACTCCCAAAGTGATTAAAAATATGTTGGATTAATAAAAATCCATTACTTTCCCACTAGTGGAATATATCTGGTATTTTTATTTGTTTTTCATTGGTTTTAGATGTCCGTTTGGACACTTCCGTGTTTTTTCAAGACACCCTGGAGCTAATCTGTGGATTATGGTGCAACTATGCTGAGCAGAGCTGAGTTACAGTTTCTGGGAGAAAACGCACGATCTGGTGTGATCAATCGTCCAGTGCGCTAAAACATTTTGGTCACGATGATTAGGATTTCGGACCAGCACAAGAATCGGCAACGTTCGAACGTTCCGTGTACCCGATTTAACTCACAATGGTTGGACCTAAACCAGCATATGGTATTCAATCACTTTGAAAACCTGTTTTATACATGGATCACATCCCCAGACTGAAAAAATCAACAACCCCTTTTCTGAAAACTTCTACTACGGGCCCATGTTCTAAAAGCAAACGTTCTAACCACTCAGCCACGTATTCAACCATCTGCGTGCACAGAAATACATATATGTGTGTGTGTTCATCGGTTAGGATACACGTGTCTTAAATGGTTTATTGTTCTTCGGTTTTGGCAAATGTGGCACTGTGCGATAGTCGAGCGTTTTACCGTAATCTATCTATCTATCTCAGCCTGTTCATTTCTATCTATCTATCTATCTATCTATCTATCTATCTATCTATCTATCCTGTTTATTTATCTATCTATCTATCCTGTTTATTTATCTCTCTCTCTCTCTCTCTCTCTCTCTCTCTCTCTCTCTATATATATATATATATATATATATATATATATATATATATATATATATATAAAGAGAAATAGATATTTATGTATGTTCATATCTATCTATCTCCGTCTGTTCATTTCTTTCTTTCTAACTGTATTATCTATCTATCTATCTATCTATCTATCTATCTATCTATCTATCTCAGTCTGTTCATTTCTATCTATTTTCTTCATTATCTATCTATCTATCTATCTAGTCTCTATCTCAGTCTGTTCATTTCTATCTATTTTCTTCTATTATCTATCTATCTATTTATCTATCTATCTATCTATCACAACCTGTTTATTTCTCTCTCTCTCTCTCTCTCTATATATATATATATATATATATATATAAAGAGAAATAGATATTTATGTATGTTCATATCTATCTATCTCAGTCTATTCATTTTTCTTTCTATGTATATTATCTATCTATCTATCTATCTATCTATCTATCTATCTATCTATCTATCCTGTTAATTTCTATGTATATATCTAGGCATCTATCTATCCTGTTCATTTCTATCTATCCATCTCTCAACTAATTTATCTTTGACCTCCAACGTTAATTACCGTTTTTAATTCCGAGCTGACTTTCTCCTAGACTGATTACAAACCAAATCCTGTTTTTCCTTCAATCGGAGATCGAAAGAAATGGTTGATTTCATACATTTCTCCAGGTTAAATGTGTGGAAGTGAATTTAACAATGTCGACTGGAGATTGAACTCGGATCCTTTCTGAGTCTACCATCAACCCTATGCGCGTATCTTATATATTATTTATTATTTTATCCAAATAGCTATCCCTAAATCTATTTAACATACACACACGCACACGCATACACACATATATACACACACACACACACACACACACACACACACACATATATATATATATATATATCTGTCAACGCACTGACTCATCAGTTTTCGCGTATCTACAAATGAAGCTTTATCAATGTAGACAAGGCTGTTCCTTTTCGAGCTTTCTGTTTTGAAAACTTCTAATGTTTCTTGATATGAATGCACTCGTAATTTTGAAGACAACCTTACTCATCGTAAATAAAAATATCTTCCTTATCATTTAAGATAAATTTGAAGTCGTAAATAATCAACCTTTCGAAGACTTATTAAACAAACACGTATTTAGGTGCCGCCCGATTTCTTCGCGTTGAATAAATTTTGTAATTTCTCATGTTTTTTTTTTGTTGTTTTGTTTTCGACGTTTCTTTTTAAAACCATTTCATTCCCAAGGAAGGCGATAACGTCACTAAGACGCAAGAGGACACTAACAGCGAAAGAAGACGAGAAAACTTTTGAGACCTATTTTTATTCTTGTCCAGCGTGTACAAGGGTTAGTTTGAGTTTTCCACTCATCCTTATTTGTGTTTACGGTTTGGTGTGGATGTATTTTGTTCGTTTTTGAAGGTGTTTGTCTACAAGAATATCTGCTTCTTTTTACTACTGGGATTGCCATTTTTTTAACTGTGTTTTGTGGTTCAATCTTGAGATAATAACTTTTTACTATGATGAATGGTGATAGTCTTCACAGAAGAGTGTAGTCATTCAGGTGACTTATTACACATCATTCCTTATTTTTATTTTTTTTAATAACCTTCTTTTGGTATTTCAAATCAAAGAACTGACTAAAAGAGAGAGGGAAAATAAGATAACCCCCATAGACTATATTTTAAGTTTTGCTGGTTCTTCTAAGGTCCATAAACCCCCTAACTTTTAAGACCTATTTTCATTCTTGTATAGTGTGTAGAAAGGATAGATTTGAGTTTCTCACACCACACTTATTTGTGTTTAAGATTTCAGAGTTAAATTTCTGTTTTTTCTAGTCCCACAGCTTATTATTGTTGCGCTGAATAAATTTGCTCCAATTACTATTTCTATTTTTACTTAACCTTCATGCCTGATTAATTTCCATCACTTACAATAGTGTCTGTCTTCATTGTGGTTTTATTTTTTCATCTTGAATTACAAAAACCAACCTGCTTTGTTGAGAAAATGTTAGTTTGTATCTGTTAAAAACAATGATCAATCTCCCATTTTACAATACTAAATTGGTAATTCACTATCACTTAAGTGAAATACCAAAAGAAGTTTATTAAAAATAATGATAATGAATGATGTATAATAAGTCACCTGAATGACTACACTCCCCTGTGAAGACTATCACCATTCATTATAGTAAAAAGCTATAACCAAGATTGAAACACCAAACACAGTTAAAAAAGAAAAAAATCTGAGTAGTAAAAAGAAGTAAATAGACATTGTTGTAGATAAACACCTTCTACAACAAACAATACATCCTCACCAAATCCTAAACACAAATAAGGGTGGAGTGAGAAACTCAAAATCATCCTTTCTATACACTAGACAAGAATAAAAATAGGTCTCAAAAGTTAGGGGGTTTATAGACCTTAGAAGAAGCAGCAAAACTTAAAATATAGTCTATGGGCTTATCTTATTTTCCTCCTTTTTGGAAGGTCTTTGATCTCCTGGCAAAACCATTTTGTTAGTTTTGAGGAGGTAGAGAACTGATGGTATGCCATAAACTGGAATATACGATAGTCTGAAGAAGCAAAACCCAATTTACATGGTGGGTGAAGCGAACTGTTGATTCTTCAAGATAAAGTTTTTGATTATTCATTCAAGAAGTATGTGATTATTCATTCAAGAAGTATGTGATTTAAGCATTGTCAAGTTGCAGGAGAGTTCTTCCCCTGTTGATCAAAGCTGATAGATTATTCTTCAAAGAGAATTATATTCTACTCACAGTAGACATCTAAAGTAATGCCTCAACTATCTGCTAGAATTCCAAAGTGTATGATTTTCTTGAAATTTCGCCAAACACTCCAGGAGTTTTTCTTTAATTATGACTCTGATGAAAATATTAACGGTGAAGTGGTCAAAGATGATGACTAATTTTATGGAAGCTACTGGGGACCATCAATATACCTTATAGCCTTTCTGAAGGTGAATTATTTTGTCTATTTATAAATGATGAAATAACTTTATAACCTCGAGATTGAATCACCAAACATAGTTAAAAAAAAATGGAAATCTCAGTTGTAAAAGAAGCAAATAAATATAGTAGTAGATAAACAACAAACAATAGATGCTCATCAAATTATTTTTATTTTTTTAATAACCTTCTTTTGGTATTTCAAATCAATGAACTGGCAAAAATAGGGAAGGGAAATAAGATAAGCCCATAGACTATATTTTAAGTTTTGCTGCTTCTTCTAAGGTCTATAAACCCCCTAACTTTTGAGACCTATTTTTATTCTTGTCTAGTGTGTAGAAAGGATGGTTTCGAGTTTCTCATTCCACCCTTATTTGTGTTTAGGATTTGGTGAGGATGTATTGTTTGTTGTAGAAGGTGTTTATCTACAACAATGTCTGGCAAATGTTAGGATCCCAGCTATGGACAAATAGTTAACTATTACCAGCAATACTTTTAAAAAAAATTATTACCAGCAATACAATTTTGAAGGAAAAAAGATATTACCAGAAACAGATTTTAGACAAAACAAAATATTACCAGCAATAAAAAAAATTGTCGGCATTAAATAACCCATTGAGGTTGATGTGCCGTAAAACAAAAGGAACCAACTCAATCTAAAACAAAGAATACATATTCTATTCATGCGAATCTATCCTAAAAATGTTGTCGGCATTAAATAACCCATTGAGGTTGATCTGTCGTAAAACAAAATAAATCAAACCAAACAAACTGTTGGGCATTTTTAATAAAAATGTGCTGAATTTCGAGGCCTGAAATTAATAGTCACGTTAGTGTTTCGTAAGTCTCACTTGATAGATAATGACGATTAGTTAATAACATCAGTTGCAAAAAAAAAAAACGAGTCTGAGCTTTGAAGGTTTAAACTGGTGGGACTAAATACCATGGACATGACTACCTATGGACATGAATATTAAAATCAGATACTGCGCATATTTTTTTAATGTTTTTTACCCCAAGAAAGGCGACAATGCCACTAAGACGCAGA